TTTGTACAGTTCTCTTAAGTGTCCAAATGTTCTGTGGTCACGATTTGTAATTTTCAGTAGTCTAGTTTAATCTAGTATTAAAGTTAAAGTAAAATAATGATATGAGAGACATCTCCAATATGCTCCGTTCTGGATACTTTGATTTAAATGACATTAGGTTACAACACCTCAGTCATGTTTTTCCATTATACCCTTTCATTATCTTTGTTTACAGAGACCCTACTCGATGGCCTAAATGAAGCCTGATTAAAGGTACTATGTCCCATTTGCAGGGCAAAAAAATGAAAAAGTTAAATTCCAACTGCATTTGAAAGATAATACTAATTTAGAACTTCCCTAAAAAAGGTGGGGCTTGAAAATGTCTTCAAATGGGAAAATAACGACTATTAGTTGTCAAATCGACTTTAGGGCTATAGAGCCCAAAAATAATAGTCTTGATTTTCAGAATTATTGTACCAAATGGTCATACGTTTTATGCTGCGCAAAGATTCAATCAGTTTAATCTTGGCTATCACAAGAAGTGGGTTATTGATGTAGACAAATGCTCATGTACCCTTTACAACTATTTTCATGTATGTTATTACCAAAGTAGAAAAAAGCCAGTCATTCACTCAATAGTGTCTGACAGTGAAGTCTAGCAAGTAAACGGGTTTCCTTGCATAATTTGAATATGAGGACACTGCTAACGTTTAAATTTCACAGATAGGACATACATGACATATTCATAATTCCTGCAAAGTTCTACATAATTTGAGGTTGGCTGCAAAAGGGACATAGTACCTTTAAGATGAGCTAATATTTCGACAAAATGTTTGAATTGTCCATTAAAATTATAAGAAACTTACTTACAGTCAGCCCAAATCAAAGATAGATAATGATTGATCAATTCTGCCTCGTGAATCGATAAGGCAATCTGGCTCAAAGTCTCTGATCATTGTACGGTTTTTTTTTTTTTTTTAACCATCGCCCGTATTGTGGAAGACAGAATACAAAACCAATTTCACTGCATTTTGCAAACCTATCAATCGTCATTGGAAACAAAATGACGTTTCGATAGCTGTACTTGACAGGCCTTAATGGGTCAATGTTTGATTGCAATATGATTGCTAATCAAACGTCAATGTAATTACCTCTCTAATTAGTGCTTTACGAGACTCATTTTATCGTCCACGCTATCCTCTCTATATGATTTTTTGCCTATCTCTCTTTCACCGCTCCACTCAATTATTTCTTAAACAGTCAATTGTGCATATAATTATGACGATTCCTGTTTGTTCTATGTATAATTTAGGTCACTAAACATGTCATGTTGAAACTTTAAATATGTGGGATGATGCATATAAAAAGTAAATGAACATCAAATCTAATTAGGCATGATCCACAATTTGTTTGTAATTTATGTTTGCCATGTATTCAGTTACATTACAATGAACCAATGAGGACGCCAGCTCAAGCTGCGATCATGATATGACGACCCCTTTTTAGGTATGATTTTATATGACCATACATGTTGAAATTTCATATAGATGTGTGATGATGTACAGTATATGGAAAATAAATGAACGTCAAATCAAGTCAAACCATCGATCAACATCAGGCCTAAATTGCACAGTTTTAGTTTAATGTCGTCAACTGACCGATGAGGATAATGTGTGAGATGTATGAAAAATTTCCGCATATTGTTTTCTTCTCTTTCTAATGTTTGGAGATCTATCTTATTCGGGGAAGGATTGCTCATCCTTGGCTTGAACAGATCATTATCACCAATGTGTTTCCCATGTAGTAAATCACGATTCTGAGTATTTTCAGTTGTCATATTTCGTAAATGTCAAGATCAGTTGTGGTATATCTGTATCGTTTAGAATATGCACTCTCCCCGAAGACTATAACGAGGAAAGCAAGGATTTAGAAAAGCACAGCCAAAGAAATGACGATGTCGAGAGCATTAACCAGTTTGTAACATTGCTGATATCTTTACTGTGTTCAGTTGCGGTAGTTGAGTCTGTTCTATGGTCGGAAATCGTAGAGAACACCAATCTAA